CCTCCTCCTCCTTCTCCTCCTCCTCCTTCCCCCCTCCATCCCTCCCCTCTCCCTCACTCCATCCCTCCCTCCCCCTCCCCTCCTCTCCCTAATTACCTCCCTTCCTTCCTCCCCTCTCCTCCCCCCTTCCCTCCTCGTGTAAGCTTCTCCTCCACCACCACCACCTTCTCCTCCTCCTCCTCTTCTTCTTCTTCTTCTTATTATTATTCATCTTCTTCTTCCTCTTCCTCTTTTTCTGTTTCCTCCTCCTCCTCCTTGTGCTCCTCCTCTTGGACCCCCCTCCCCCCAAACAAATCGTTTGGCTCGAACGCGCCTCGTGCGAAGAGAAGTGCCGGGATTGGAACCAGCGCTCCTCCTCGCCGCGCTTGCTAATGCGCGCGACGGTCGCGAGTGGCCATGGTGCACATTCTGAATGTGGCGCCGCGTGGGCCGCGGCCAGCGCTCGCACGCATGGCGCGGCGGCTGCGCCACTCTAGGTTGGCGGAGCTGGGCACACTCGCGGCTGCCCTGGCCGAGAGGGCCCCGGCCATGCGAGTGGCGCTGACTGAGCGTTGGAAGCTCGAGGACATGATCGGCAACCGCGTGGCGTCCATGAGCGAGGCGGTTGCCGCCAGCCGGCCCCTGGGCCTGCCGCAGGAGGCGCTCTTGCTCGAGGCGATGGAGTCCGGCCATTCGGAACGGCACCCGCCGCCGCCAGGGGCGGCGGCGAAGCTGAAGGTCCTGTGGTGGGCCATGTCTGCCCGGCTGAGCGTCGAGGCCGCGCCCTGCGTGCCGCGTGCCTGTTTTCGGAGGCACGTCCGAGGCGGGGTCGCAGGTGGACGCGCTGCTGGTGCCGCTTGGCGTGGACGGTTGCGCCGAGCAGGCAAAAGGGCCTCCTCAGCCTGACTCGTCTTCGGTCGCAGGTCACCCCTGGGCAGAACCTCCTCTGCTCTGTTCCTCGGGGGAGGAGAGGCTGATTATCAGGTTGAAGGGGCCGCAGGACACACAAAGAAATACACACAAATAAACATATTCCCCATATGTTCCCATATGTTCTGGGTTTCTGGCTTCCCCCCACTTCCCATAGTTTCCCATATTTTCCGGGGAATCGGCAATTAATTGTGCCTGTGTGTGTTTTTCTCCCTCCCGACAGGTTTCTGGTTGCGCGCACCTGCAGAGCGCTGCGGCCGCTGCCGAGACCTCGAAGGTCGAGGCCGCGGACGGGACGGACGTCTCGATGGCAGCGCTGACGACATGCCTTGGCGCGCTCATCACGGAGAGCGGCGTTTCGGTGGCGCACGCCGGCGATCAACCGCCCCAGTCGCCCACTTTCAGCGGAGCGAGCGGCATCTTGGGAGAGCTCGCGGACGGCCCACGGCCAGCTGGAGGTCGAGGCGCTCAGGCAACCCGCTCTCGCCGAGGAGAGCGGCACCTCGGGGGTGCGGTGCCGGCCAGCTGGACTTCGGAGCGTTCGGCTTGGAGGAGGCGGAGGCGGCTCGGCCGTCGGATGGAGCCGGCGGACGTTCTGGCAGAGCGCTCCTGTCGGGCACACATTGCAGTCGACCCGCATCACAAGGATGCGCTTTCAGGATGCAAGGGCCCTGGAAGGCCATCTCGAAGCTCCACACGCGGGGCGCGGCCAGCGAAAGTGGCCAAGGATGGACCGGGGAGGCGAGGGTGCAGGGGGGTACCCCTGGGGAAGGCTGCCCGTCCTTACAGTGCGGGTTGGCCGCAAGCTGGGCAAACACAAGCCCAGGCCGGCCAGGGCCCTGTCGCGAAGCCCGGCCAGCCGCGCGGTGGCTCCCGAAGCCGGGTCAGCGGAGGGCGGAACGGGGAACTCGGCCCCGCGTGGTTCCCCAGTCCGGGTCCGCCAGAGGGGACGGCCCAAGAGGCTTCCAAGCGTCTTGGGAACAGCCAGAGGGGACTGCCAGGGAACCACGCGAGGGCATCCAAAGCTTGTCGCATCACAGGCCGTTTCGAACGCACGCGTGCAGCCGCTGCTGGGAATTGTGGGCATCACATTTATGGCACGTTTGGGAGCCAGCTGGAGTATTTTCGCCGCAGCCTTGCGGCCGTGGTTGGCACTGGGGGCCGAGGATTGTGTAAGACTTCTCTTCTTGCCATCAAGGAGCCACGCCAGGATCCAGGCGTCAAGTACCCACATGAGTGTGTTGAGTTTTGGCTCAAGCTGTGGTTCACGTCTCCTTCCATCCGCGCTGGCGTCCACCGCGTCTGGAATTCTGTTGTGGCCAACCTTCGTGCCGCCCTTGCAGGTCGGCGTTCACGGCAGATACGAGGCCCCATGTCGGCCGTCAATGTGTATCTTCTGGAGCGACAGTGGAATCCATCGTCCCCCACGCTGTGGATCATGCCTGACGGCACGGAGTGGCAATTTCCAGAGTCGCGTTATTCGGACATCATGGCGCTCAGCGGGCTGAAACAATTTTTCGTGGACTTCGATCGTGCCTCGGAGCTCCTGTTGTGGCAGCGGGCGGAGCGGCATTCTTGTGGTGGCGGCCTC